AGAGTGTCCTCTGTGGTGTATAGATTGTCCATGGTGAAAATGAAAAGTAGGGCTAACCACTTCCTGTTGACAAAGGCTAGTTAAATGTAAAAAATAAAAAAATAAAAAATAAAAAACAAGGAAGTTTTGAAAAACAATTGCATCACCAATAAAAACCCACTCACAATCATATTACTGAATAGTAAAATGCTGATTACTTCATTTGATATACTGTGGGACAGAAATCAGAGCTTAGGGTCGGATTATGGCCCACGGGCCACCTATTGGAGATCAGGAGTATATAAATTGTCTTCAAAGTTAAAAGTTAATCCCAAAATGTTACCATTAAGATTACCAAAATGTGCGCCACTAACGTTTTTGCACAAATATACCAAACTACTTTTGATATCTGAAAGACTTAAAGAGTGTTCAGTGAGATACTTCAATAACAACTTAAGAAAAAACTGTAGATAAATCCAAGATAAATCGCGACTCAAAATTTGTTATTCACACCTCAAGTTGGTCATCCAACATTAGACAACAGTTAAACATGCAACAAGTGAATTGTAAGAACTGACATTAAAGTTGTTATTCATACCTCAAGTTGGTCATCCAAAATTAGACAACAGTTAAACACGGAACAAGTGAATTGTAAGAACTGACATTAAAGTTGTTATTCATACCTCAAGTTAGTCATCCAACATTAAACAACACTTTAACACGGAACAAGTGAATTGTAAGAACTGACATTAAAGTTGTTATTCATACCTCAAGTTGGTCATCCAACATTAGACAACAGTTAATCACGGAACAAGTGAATTGTAAGAACTGACATTAAAGTTGTTATTCATACCTCAAGTTGGTCATCTAACATTAGACAACAATTAAACACCGAACAAGTGAATTGTAAGAACTGATATTAAAGTTGTTATTCATACCTCAAGTTGGTCATCCAGCATTAGACAACAGTTAAACACAGAACAAGTGAAGATTAAAAGACAGCAGATGTAAATCACTTCCAAAGAAATTCATTTCAACTCACATACAAGCAAGTTACTACAAAAAAAAAAAAAAATACGCAGTGGTTCAGCGATAAGCTTGAGGGCTTGTACGCTAAAAACCGGGTTTTAATACCCGTGGTGATCTAAGCGCAGATGGCTTTACGCTTGAACACAAACAAGCAAATAAAATTTTGATAAGCATTTATCTATAATTAATAGCGCCATTTAACACTGATGACGTCTTCATATAAGCTTTATGACAATTTCTTATAATTAATAATGATACTAAGAAAACATGAAGAATGTAAAAATTGATAAAAGAGCCATTCAAGAAAAACCAACCTTTTCAAAATTTACTTTAAAACAAACTTTGAATTCGCTCAAGTTATTTGGTAGCTTTAATTCTGTATTTAATAAAAAATTACTTTACTATTATTTTTTGTTGATGTTGAAACCCGATTTTTAGCGTTATAAGCTCTCAGATCTACTGTTGAGCAACCAGAGGGCTTACTTTACGAGGTAGATTTAAAAGTAATCACTTGTCAATAAGGAAAAAGTCGTAACGTGTGAGAAACTCAACGCTTTATGTTCACATTGTTATCAAAGTCTGACAACAGAGCAATGACGTTTTGTTCACGTAGTATCTCGGAACTAAAGAATACTAACAGTTACACCGTCGAAAAAGGTTTAGTTTTTCCGATTTTAAGCACCAGCACATTTCTTTCAGTTGAATTAACTGCAGTTATTGGTTACTAAGGTATTAAAACCACCCAAAGACTCTGCAAGTTTCAACTTGAATAAAAACTGAGAAAGTGTAAAGTTATTGCTTTACACAATGAGAAGAAAAATTAACGTCAATGAGAGGGAAAAAACGTACGAGAGAAACATCATGAGGGATGAATAATGTCAGTTAAAAAATTTCATCATCAGATCGATTCAAATATCTCCAGGTATAATTGTAGAAAAACAAGATATGCATGCAATTCAAATAAGTAATTTAACTCTTCGAAGGTGATCTACATGGAGACTTTGTAGCCAAAAAGCCTAATATTTCACTTGAGAACAGTAATAAGTTGACAAACAACGATTTATAAGTATAACAGAGTGATTTATTTTTGGGTAGACATACTACATGTTTCGACAGAACAATGGTCTGTCTTCTTCCGGAATGATTATGTAGTATGTTCCACCTAAAATATATCATTTCATTATGCTTATAAATCATTGTTTATCAACTTATTATGATACAAGCTGGTATATCCGTCAACTGACGGGGAATGTTTAAACGTAAATAAACAATGTAAGTTTAACAGCAATAATATATTTCCAAGTAATAACTTGAACATAAACTTTATCTCAATTTTTTTTAATTATAACAAAGCTTTTTCATAAACATCATTTACAGTTTGCTTTCCATCTACCAACAAATAAAGATTTTGAGGTGATCCCACCCTTGAACACCCTACATCTCATTGACCATGAGAAAAGTATGGTTGTTTGAGAAACAATCCAGCAACTTTCATACTTTGACTTTGTATTCCTTTAGAATATCCAAAATTGTCTAAAGCGACAACCTGCCAAGATTGTTTGAGATTGACTCAATAGGCTAGGCCGCTAGGAGTAATTAACCAACAGGCTTTACAAAATAGAAATAGCGTTAAGTTTAATTTTGCCCCCCTTAGGACATTCCCCATAGTTCATAGTGTTTACATACCAATTTTGATTGATACTTGCCCAATAGGCTCGGAGTAGTTATGATGCATACAAACACACATACATATATATATATAGATTATCGTACTATACTTCCATACCCAAGTATCACTTGTGAACATTGCTAAACGTTTAAACTTTGTCAATGATCAAAACATTGAAAACAACAATGGGTCAACGTGCTACGATTTGAGAAAACTAAGTTTTATAAAGAGATATGACTAGGATGTGCTGCAGGAGTTATTTTTACTTACAGGGTGAAGAGAATTGGCTGTTTCTGAACACTACTAATTTTAACTTAAATTCCTCCCACATTCTGTTTTTATCTGCTGCAGGAGTGTAAAATATGATCAAACACGATGAAATATTACCACAACATTTTGATGCCCAGAAAACAGTGTTTAGTCTTGTTTGTTATTAATGTCCTCCGATTGGTAAGTTCACAGACTTACAACGCTAAATCCGAGGTTCAGTTCCACGAGGTAAACTCAGAGATAGACCAATATGTCTTTGCTCTTAATCAAGATCGGAAACCCAGTTTTTGCGTTATAAGTATTCAGACTTGCCGCTGAGCCACATTTACTTGGTCTTGGCTTTAAATGTCAACGGGTCATTGGCCAAAATATATTATTTGCTTAATAAGAGATATTTATAGGAGAAGAAAATACTTGGTGATGTATAAATTACGAAATGTTCAGCTGAAAGTCCAATCTACAGCAATTTTAGAAGATTCTACAGTAAAATTTAATTGATAATCTCGAAAAAATTATGGTATTCATGTTTAATCGATATCGTCATATAATTAAGGTTAAATACATACCTATTAAATATTAATTATTCAGCTTATTATGTTCCAAAATGAACTTATTTTATTTTCTATTGTAGCTCCCCAGTAGCACAGCGGTATGTCTGCGGACTTACAACGCTAGAACCCGGGTTTCGATTCTCGTGGCGGGCAGAGCACAGATAGCCCATTGTGTAGCTTTGTAATTCTATTGTAATGATGGATATATATATATATATATAACAAGCAAGTCAAAATAACAATTTTTTCCAGCATTTATTTTTTTCAAACTTAAACTTTGACGCCTCGAATTCAAATTTATGACCAGTATTACATATAAGCAAAATATACTGATCGTGCTCTTCGAAGTAAATCTGGAAAGTAACCCGCTTGTATTTGTAGAACGTAGAAGTCAACTTTATCTAAATATATATATACACTGTATATCGAGTTGACTAAATGCGGAAACACTGAATAAAAATACAGTAGTAGTAGAAAAACCACACGTTTTAGTAGATGACAATATATTGAATTCGATTGTTATAGCTTAGACATCCTGTCGTTTTGTTTTACTAATCAACAGATAAAGAGAAGATTACGGTTTGGTGCAATGGAGACACAATATGTTATTTGGTTAGCCTACTTTCTCAAGTTCGAATCACACAGAACCTTAGATTTCCCCTTTTGTATCTCTATAATTCTTGAGAAATGCTTAAAATGTTATGCTTGTACATAAAACTATATTGTAAATGAACTGTTTAATGAGAAAGGTGTTGACTACGAAACGTATAGAACACATCACATTAACTGCAGCATAGGAGGACAATGACTCGCTAAAGTTATTTTCTTCTATTCCACTGTTATGAATTAAGAAATATACATAAACTTATAGCAATGTTGTCCGTGAGTTTCGAGAAAAAATAATTTTATTATTATTTGATTTTTTTATGCCAGAAACATAGAAAACTTTTGTTCTGGTTAGTTAAAATATAATTCATGATTACAAAAAAAGCGTAATCTCCTGCATTAAGAGCGAACAATTGATATAATTTAATAGAAAACAATTGACCATGATAGTAACATATAGTTCATTGTGTTTGAAAAAGAAGTTCACCGTGTGGCTTTAAAATGCGATATTAATATTAGTAATGTGTGAACGAAGGACACATTTACCTTTAAACTAAATCAGCTTTTAGTAATTTATAATTTTTTTGTTTACTAAGTACTTATACCAGAGAAAACTTATTTTTGTAGCAGTTGTAAAAAACAACAACAACAAAAAAGAACATTTGCTTGGAAACATGGAAAATATATGCAAGTTAAAGTAGGAATTTTGCAAATGTATTTATAAGTATAACCTCTTCAGCCATTATCCAAACTAAAACGGTAAGTAGTGATGTAAAATCAAGTAGTGATATTAAAATTTATGTCTAAATAAGCCATTCTTTTGTTTATAGATTTCTTTTCATATATGATACATTAATGCTTTGTATGCTTCATATTATCCCTATTTCCATTTCTAGAAGCCACCTTAGCTCAAACGAAACAGTACGAGATAGCTATTCCAACATTAGTAAATCGATCGGGGAAGTTCTTGAGCTATGACGTAACGTACCCTGAAGTTCTGAAGAGGAGGCGAAGAAATACTGCCGCAATGTTTCATGGTTTTCGGCGTATTTATTATAATGTTACTATACTAAGCCGTCTTCTTCAACTAGAGCTTGCAGCTAATGCAAAGTTAACATCAAGAAATTTTGCAGTGGAGCAGTGGAATAGTGAAGGGATAGTACGTAAACGCCGAAGATCTTTATCTTGTTTTTTTCACGGACATATTCTCGGTTCTCCGGGATCCGTTGTTTCTTTAAGTAACTGCTATGGTTTGGTAAGCATTTTCATCTAGTAATTTCATTTCCATCACAATGTAAAAGACTTATTAGTGACTTGATACTTATTTCATTTTATTTTTTGTGTGTTTGTGACAACTTCGCTGAAATTAAACTTCACTTTAGGGACAGCAGTGTATCTTAGTAAATTCTATGACAAATATGAAGATTTTTTTTACTTTATTAGACCTGTTTGAAACATGAAAATATTGAGTCTAAAAGTCATATATAACAATTATTTCTTCGGCTACATTGTTCAGCATAAAAACAGGTATAATTTTTTCGTGGTTTGAATATGTTAATCATTTTGCTTACGCACTTTGAGAATGCTGGTTTAATTATGATTTCCAAGCCTTTTAAAATAAAAGTTACAAATGATTGACAGGATGTTTAAAAGAACAATGTAAATTTAAATCCAGTTCGACATATTTTATTTTTTGCTAAACTTCTTTGGATTATAGGACATAAACGATCATTAACCAAGTTATTGTGATTTTGCGAAGCTTTATAAATTGGAAACTAACTGTAAATAGGATTTTTTTAATGTTTCTAAATACAATTGAAAAATAGATGTTATGCTGCAGTTCTTGATAAACGTTTTAAAATCGCTTATGAACTCTGTGAATGGTGTTAACGTGTAATGTAGAGGTGTTATCAACTACTAAGGACTTCTAATAAACAGTACGATTTAGAGTTAATATTTTAAACTCAAGTTATGGCAACGTTTCTTAAATCTTCCATATAAATAAAAATAACTTATCCAATGAAACTATGAACAAGGTGATAACAATAAAATTAGCAATCACATACTTGTAACTGATATTGCAATAACTTAAGCGTGTATCTTTTAGGTAGCTACATCTCAATATAATAGCTTTTTTCTTTTTCTTTTAGCATGGAATTCTTACACTCGGTGAAGACTTCTTCTTCATCGAACCATACTGGAACCATACGAAGAACGTTCACAAAGAAGGATATCCACACATTGTTTATAAATCAACTAATATCAACGTACCTAGTGCATTTGACCTGAATAATGGTAATAGACAATCCTAAAAATATCTTGCATTTTTAGAGACTAGCTAAGCAACAATATCTAGAATTATAAAATCTTTGACGGATTCGTATCTCCCGAATGAATAGACAACGTTACACAGTAAAGCATACATTCCATTACTTATACAGCATTGCAATTTTCAATGTGGATATACATTCCATTTATAATAAAGTGGCACTTTTAATAATATCAGTCAAGATGTGGCACTTTTGTTCTCTGAGATTGGTTTGTTTTCAGCGTTAAATCTCTGGGTTGTCCCACCCTTTTGGAATAAGAGGTGTAACTTTACCAGACCTTTGTGAGTAGTTTCGACGCACATGGTGTATAGTTTATTTCATTGTATTGTGAAAAAGAAAAGAAAAAAATAATTACCAACTTAAATAATTTGAAACTTCAGAAGGAGTTTTACAGATTATGTAGCTTCTATAAATAAAATATCTTACTTTTATACGTGATATTTGTATGCGTTCGTGGCTATGTAATTTCGCTAAAGATTTCATTGTGATGTTTTTAATGAAATAATTCAAAATGTTTATCTTTGTTGTAAGTTTCAATTACTGATTTTTATGCTTCCAAACATATTTTAAATTTTCCTCTGAATATTTTATTTTATAAAACTATAAAATCATTTTTGTCTTTATTCGAAAAAAGCCCTGACATACAAATGAAAAAATATAACCAAGTAGACTTTTCATAAAGTGGTTATCAGGTTTCATTTAATATGGGTAATGTTTTAAACCCATTCTATATTCATATTCGTTTTTTTATATTTCTTTTCGGGGAAGTTCGAGTGTGGTCGAGATGCCCTCTTCGTTAGTATATAAGTCTGGCAGAGAAAGCTAGCAGGGATGAATGAAGAGAGACAGAG